CTTAATGATCAAGTCACAGGCTGAATAGATGAGAACAGGAAACTTCCTCTGGTCTTTGCTGCAGGTTAATAAACATCTAGGAGGACAACAGGTGGTGTGAATTTAGTGAGTCAGGAAGAGTCAAGAATGAAACTCATTTTTTGAATTGTCTTTATTACACTGAATTCATTGTTTGATTGTTAAATGTCTGTTCACAATCTAGAAATGTGTTGTTGCAGTGACTGGCTCGTTATTTGTAGTTTTATGTTATTACTTAGGTCTCATTTTGTAAGCGAAAGTGTCTTATAAGTCTAAATAATATAAAAATGACATATAATGTAATGAAAATACACGAGACACACATTTAGATGTCTGCTGACAGATGTTTTGAACAGTTTTATTGAATTGAAATGTTAATGATGTGCTCTTATCCCCACAGTTCTACAATGAAGTTGAGGCAAAGAAATACTCTCAGAAGTGAGTCTGATGAAATGTGTGCATAACTTCCTTTACCTGTGGTCCCTATGTTCCCAGGACCCCATCCTATTCTATTAGTAAATATGTTTTTTTCTATAATATGAGCAGCTCAGGTGTATTTTGTAAATAGAAATCATTCAAAAAGACAAATAATAGTTTGAGCAGCAGATACATTCAAGAGATGCTTCATAGAAAGAAAAATAATAATGGAGCAGGGTGGTTAAATCTCAAACCATGAACGTTTTACTGGGATACGGACACTGCTAAAAGCCCCACACTAACCTAAAGCTAGTTTGGATTAAAATGTTATTTCATTTTATCACAACATCACAACATCACACAATTAGCAAGTTAGGGAGGCGATTGTCTGTGTTTTTAGTGTATACATTCACTTAACTATTTAAAGGTGTATGTATACAAATATCTACAACTATTTTAAGGATGGATATTCCCTTCCAAAAGAACAATAAACAAAAAACCATTCCCCGTCTGATTCATCAGACCTGAGTAAAAGTTGTTTTAGTTGTGTGTTGAGACCTGGCTTAAAATCTATTGAACCCCATATCAATTATGATGGCAATTAGACACATTTAATGTTCACCTTCATAGTTTAAAAAGGGCCAGAAGTCACATATTAACCGTTACTCAAAACTCTGTGTGTTTTGTTGCGTCACAGCTCTCGAATGATTGAGATCCAAACCCAGATGTCCGAGAGAGCTGTGGAGCTTTTGAACCTTCCCGAAGGACAGCCATGCTTCCTGTTAGATGTGGGGTGAGTGACACTGACTTTGTTTGTTTGTTTGGCTAGTTAACAGTACTGCAATAGTCTCGCAGTGTTTGAGAATCACCTCACCTTTTTGTTTGTTTTGTAAGGTCCAGAATACACTTATTATGTGAGATTGGGATTTTAAAGACTTGTCTCTCTGTTTTTTGTCTCAGGTGCGGCTCTGGTCTCAGTGGAGACTTCCTGTCGGAGGAGGGACACTACTGGGTCGGAGTCGACATCAGCACTGCAATGCTTGGTAAGTTTAAACTATCACCTTCAACAAGAAGCAACGGAAGCATGGGCTGGATGATGAACCGGTTTAATATTGATATTAAATAAACCTTCATCTCATCTTTCAATAGACCTAAAACAATAAGTGTGTCTTCTTTTAAGTTCAGTGTTTTGCATGTTACACAAGATACATCAGAGGTTTCAGTTTTAAGCCTCTAAGCGACATTTAAGGAGATGTCGACACATTTCTAAAACCTTGATCAAACCCTGTCTTTCCTGTAACAGATGTTGCACTGGACAGAGAAGTAGAGGGAGACCTTTTAGTGGGGGACATGGGCCACGGGATGCCGTTCAGAGCCGGGACATTTGACGGTTGCATCAGGTGAATAACAAAGCATGACTTTTGAAAAAAAAGAAAAGAAGGTATCCTATTTCATTTTTAATAATTTCTGACTCTGTTTTTCATTTAACGTTTGAATTATTCCACGTCAGTATCTCTGCTCTGCAGTGGCTCTGTAATGCCGACAAGAGGTCACATAGTCCTCCGAAGAGACTCTACACCTTCTTTAGTACTCTCTACTCTTCTCTGGTAAGGTTTTTATACAAACTTCCAGATACCAAATTTCAAAATGGAGACAGTTCCTAGCCTCTTATTGTTCTTTGTCTTTCAGTCAAGAGGCTCACGTGCCATTTTCCAGCTTTATCCAGAGAACTCAGAACAGGTGAAATAATGTAGTGCATAGTTGATATGAAATTTGGTGTTTTTTCTGGATTCATTTTCTTACCATCAGTCTTCTTCCCTCTCTAAAGCTTGAGCTGATCACGACGCAGGCCATGAGGGCAGGTTTTGGTGGAGGTATGGTGGTGGACTACCCCAACAGCAGCAAAGCCAAAAAGTCAGTACCTTTCAGAAGCTAGGCTTTTATTTTGATATATTTAGCTGCAGCCCTCTTCAAGTGATTCCCTCTTAATGGCCTGTGAAATTAGCAGCAGTGTAATTATAACAAAAGGCTAATTAGAACATATTGAATTAACTGTTTGTCACATTAGCCTCTTAATAAATGATCACACATTAATACGGTTAGCCTGATTTACTCCTTCACTTACACACACATTTATTTTGTTTCCAGGTTCTTCTTGTGTCTGTTTGCTGGAGTTACCGGTTCTCTTCCCAAAGTAAGAAACAAAATATTTAGTGGGTTTCGGGGCATCTGTGTTTCATTATAGCTACATCATTATAATTGTTATCTTTTTTTGTTCTTTTCAGGGATTGGGAACAGAAACGTCAGACAGAGCTGTATCAAACCAGGTCCAGTATTCAGGACAAAGGTAAAGATATTTAGACAAATACTGATTATTGTAAGAGTTTGAGGAAACTGTTATCTTGGTTGAAAGGAGCCAAGTTTGTTTGAGTAATCAGTGTTTAACAAGATTTATTTTGTAGTAAATGTAATTTATTCAAAAAGAGTGATGAGATGTACCCTGAGCATCAAATGAATATTGTGAAACTAGTGTGTTACTTGCTGCTGGAAATGTGCATCTAAGGCCTTTGTTAATACCAAAACATTTTGTGAATTTCACACCTATACATTTTAATGAATTGTTTGCAAACTGATTACTTTATTTGCTGATTTTTTAATCTCTTATGAGAGTTTTTGGAAAATCCCAGCCCATTTTTTGGAATGAGAATATTTGCTGGACAGAGCAAGTCATTTATAATCGGGCTCTTAGAAATCGTGATCAACATTTTAAATGTAAACAATGAATACAAAATGTTTTAGTGGCAGCACTACCTTTCTCGGACAAGGATAGGCACCACTTTCTTTATTGATTTGTGTTAAAACAGCCTTGTAAAAAAAGGTCTTGGCCCTGATAAATGCAGGTTGAGTCATACCTGCTTTAAAGAGGCCTAAAGACCGAGAGAAATCTCCAAAGGGTTGTCGTCCTGCCTCACTTAAAACCTGTCAGGCAGCTTTTCCTCCCTTTTACATAGTGATGTTGAAGTTGCTCCTATTGATTAAACCAAGAGAATTGATGGTAAAACATTTAGCATAAGATCTGAGGAGTTTTGGACGTGGTTTACCACAAAGACCACGGTGCAATTTAAATAAGCTAATCATCCACACTTTGTCTTTGTGAAGATGTCGGTTTAAAGGCATGAAGGGGAAATCAGCGAAGAAGGGGCGCGATTGGATTTTGGAGAAAAAGGAGAGGAGGAGAAGGCAGGGACGGTATGTACAAGACTGTGGTTTAAACTCTTTCAGGACAAATAATTGTATCTTGTGCTGAAATATTCAGGCTCTAAATAATGTTATATCATTAGGTTAAACTTAACTGAATCCCTGATTGGCTGTAATCTGTAACATTGCTGACGCCTTCTCTCTCTGCTTTGTGTTTGATTTTCAGGGAGGTTCGATCCGACACAAAGTACACTGCACGTCAGAGAAAACCTCATTTCTAGCTCTGACTCATGCAGCTGTGCCTTCATTAGCTCTCGTCTGTACCACCCTGAACACAATCACCATTCAAACTGCAAAGTGTTTGGACTTAATTGTACCCACTCTTTAAAACAGGTGGATAAGATAAGAAGTAAAATGCTATTATGGCTGATCCATTTTACATTTGGTTGAGTGTATAGCAATGTTTCTCACAAATGTTTGTCAAGTGTTGCACTCTCCATGTTCTGGTTGGCTGGACATGGAGAGAAATCTGTAAAATCTTGCAGAGGAGAAAGATTTAGCTTTGACGGCAACAATAATCTCATAGAATTAAAACAATTATCATAAATGTCACATTTTCGATATCTGTTTATTAAAAACCTATAAAAGATATTTGTATTATACTCACTTTTATTCTCCCGAATATAGAATCAATTTAACTAACAAGCATTGAGGTTGTTAGTTAAATTCCTCCTTTTTGTAATCCTGTGTCACAAAAAACACTCTTTTATGGAGATATGAGATGTAGAAAATGACAATACACTTGAAAGTTGTCCTATAACAAACTGACAGCTCATTATATTATGAGGAAGGTTACAAAAAGGAGAACGTCTGGATGCCCAAAAAAGTTGTGCTCATAATGGGGAAATGGAACCAAACAAAGTAAACGCATTGCTGCTGCAACTACTATTACTTACGTTTTTTTATGGTTTATATAAACTTTATTGTATAAAATAATAGAAACATTTCGACAATTGATAAGGTACTTATGTTGGGTATGAAGGAAGAAAACAAAAGATACTATAGTTATGGATACACTTAAAAATCCTAGCTAGATATATGATGGCATCAAATGATAACTATACTTTATAACACAGTAGTAAAAGCAATTCTAAGACACGTTTCAAAGTCGGTAAGTAGGCTTTTATGTAAAAAAATATTTAAATGTTGAGGCCTTTCGCTGTTTCCATAAGTGTGCCTCACATAAAGCCAACAGAGGTCGCTGTGAGCTTTGGCACGAGGGAAGCCATCCACCTGGGCGTTATCTCTGAACCTGCTCAATAGATAATCAAACCCAACACAGATCCACCAGACTCTCTGAGGAGACAGTCACTTTACTGTCAGTCGTGCTTTCAATATGTTGGATTGACTTTAACGGTAACAAATAAACTTAAAGTGGGGAATTATTTCAAAAGACAGACCAATTAGTGCGGTTTGAGGAGGAAGTTGAGGGTGTGTAATGGGTTAACGTCGGCAGGCCTCTCCTCTCACCTTTAGTGCGCGTCACCCGGCTCCGTAAAGTGGTCCCACCATCGACACCGAAGGGGCGAAACACCGCCGCCAGACGCGCACCTCTCCTCGGTCTGACTCGCATCATCCCGGTCTCCTCCCCGCTGCTCCATCACCGCACGCGAACCACAAAACACCGGGCACTGAAGGAATAAGTGTGATTTACCGCAAACATGAAGGACCGCATGCAAGAACTGAAACATGTAAGTTACTGTTTGATTATTTTAAAGGACCAGTATCCACCTGTTCGTGGAGTAGGCTAGATGGTTTATAAAGACGCTTTTAGATGATGTAAAAGCGTCTTCTGACGGCACAGAGCCGTGTGCGCTCACTGAGCAACAGTTGTGACGCTCAGGGGTCTGATGGAGGCTGAAATGTAGGGTTTTATAACAGGCAACAGACGCGTATTACTGCTAGGCATTACTGTATGGGTAAAACGGATGAATGATGGGTGGTTATTAATCCAATTAAAAGTAATTTCCTCCTCAATCTCGAAATAAAAAAATCGCTATGATCTGCCTGCCTAAATTCTTTAAGCAATTTGTATGCTATTTCATCTCTGGGACTCAAAAGGGAGATTAAAGCATAGACATTCCTTTGAATTCATAGTGTTTAATCACGATGTGGTCTTTCATTCAATATGCAATATTCAATTTCAGCATTGTGTGCAATCTATGTAGAATCAATTAGCTATTCAGAAACAGTTGAATTGTTAATTGTGTGCCCTGTGAGGAAATATATTATAGTGCATTAATAATTGTTCTGTGTGTGCGGTTTGATCGATCTGTCCAGCCATGGGTGTGTGATTTGAAAAAGGAAATTGGTCCCAGCTCGCCCATTTCACCTAAATGTCAGCCCTCTGCGCGTCACAGGCGCTCTCATCAAAAACCTTTAACCCCCCCACACCGAGCACAATGTGTTGTCCTTTCTGACATTACTATTGATAAAAGAGATGGGGGTTTCAATGTGAAATATACTTTTACTATCTTATCTCCGCAATTCTACCCTCATCATCTCCAACATATTCATCCTCGTGAAAATGTGTATGTGCGTGCGTGTGTGTTAAAGTCACCATTGTCAGATCTATGTAATTGGCAGTTAACCTGGGGAGTCAGTCGGGCAAACAATTTACGACTTCTCAGTTTTCAGTAAAGATCTAGCAATGAATTGGCCTCAAGGGAGACAACAACCATTTGTGTGATGTGGTGTGCAGGGTCGGTGTGTGTGTGTGTGTGCCTTACTCAATAGCTTCACTGAGAAATCAGGATCAACTGAAATGTAATACGGTTGCTGATTATATTATATTTTATTATTTTTGATCATATCATTCATGTCTGAGAATTGGCAGCTGGAGCAGGCCCAGCCAGACCAATTTCATCAAATACAGACCAAATACAATTGAAGTGAATTGCATGTCACAGACTGTTATTTCCCATCAGCACTAGGTTGATATTGTTTCCCATTTGCAGCTACTTGACTCTCATGCAGATGTCTCAGTGTGTCAGGACAGCACATTACAACAGCACAGTGTCAGATTCATGGGATTGTATTTAAATGGCTGCCTAGGGCTTGCAATTAATCATTGTTTCAATATATATTAATGGGCTGTACAGCTCCCAAAACCTGAGCCTGCTAAGTCTAAGTTTATTTATTTGCTCATTGCAGATTTACAGTTCTGTTCTTCACTGAGACTTCATCTTTAACCCTTCGCTTCCACCTACCCTTGCTGGATTGTCACTGGACTTTGTTTCAGATTTTCAAACTGGAAGACGTGTGGCTTTTCTGGAAATATTTTCATTAAATCAATGAAGAAATGAACATGCATAAATATATTCATTAAGAATACATTTGTGTTGTTGCAGCCTTGTGCTTCATTGATCAATAGTTATTATAGCTTTAAATAAGAATTAGGAGTTGGAGTCCCCTCCAAGAAACAATACCTTGTTGAGAGGGAAGAGACATTTGTTGTCAAAAAACAAGGCACTTTCACCCAGGAGACTGGAGATCATGTAAGCCAGTGTTGGGTTATTTAAACTGAGTCTACATCTGTCTAATAGTGTTGGACGCAATGTTCCACTTCTGAGAGTGGTAGTGAAAACAACTGATAATGCACTACAATTGTTTCTGCACTAGAATCAACTGTGGTTGTTTTTGGGGGATAAACACAAGATGATGTTTGCTACCATTCATACACGTCTTCAGCTGTACACCTACATTTGGCCTTTTATCACAAGACACCCCCATCCGAGAATGGTCACAGGTGATAGTACCTGCATGTTTGTCTTATGGTTAGTCTCTAGTGGTCAACTGGCAGCCCAAACCTCATCTCTTCTATTCAGCTGCAGACAGTGATTGCTCTTTTCGGTCTCATTGGTGAATTCTTTGAAGGCCCCTCTTTGGGCCTGGCCTCTGACTCCTACTCCCTCAGGAGCTGTGCAGTTGAACAGGTTACAAAACCCCTGCATACCAACTCAACTGGACCCACTTTTATATTCCTGCCTCGTGTACCATCTGCCTAATGATGAAGACACACCAGCAGGAGTGGCAGCAGAGGTCAAGGTCTGGCATTTCCCAGTCTTTAACTGCGTTTAGATGGCATGAGCTGAAAGACAACTTCTTAGCCCTCCGTTTCTCTTCTTCCTGGATGTTGGATGGTAGGTGTGGTCTGGACATTGTAGCCATGGTGGTTAGTCTCTTGCCCTCAAGTTTAGCTCTTAGACACCTTAGTTCTTTGTTTTCTTGCCACGTACATCACACTTGTGCTAGGCTCGTGACCAATGTGTTTAAAGGGCAGTGTGACTTACTGAATGTGATAGTGGAAGTATTGACTTTTATTAGGAAAGTGATTCAATTAAACTGATTAAACTCTCTCTTATTCTGGAAGGTGACATCTGGCCAATATCAGTGCTGTTACTGAATGGATTTATTTGATTTTCATTTGTTACATTTGGATTGTGTACTGTTTTCTCCATTACATTTGGTTTGTCTAGTTTGAAAATGTTTTTCCTTGTAAGAGTTGCTTAAATGGTTGTAATAATCAGTAATTTCAGAAAACATATTACAAAGATATCACATCATTTTCACATAAAACCAAGATAACTGAGCTTTACAGATTGCGTAGCTTCTGTGTCTTTGTTTTGAAGAGTCACACTGCTAGTTGAATCACCCTTTTTATGTGTCATTTTGGCAGGAAATTGAGTTTTGCTCATATTTGCGTGGTGGAGGTTCTGCCTCAACATTGTCCATATGCATATAAAGCTATGAGCTCATCACCTGCCTATGACTCTGCTCTTCCAGAAGCTCATTAGATTGCTGCCTAAAAACTGTCAGTTTCAATAACTAAAAGGCTCATACAGCCTCTCCTTACCTCGTCCCATCATTCCCAGTCGGCCAAACTTGATTTAGTGACAGATGGTGCAGATGAGAGGTTTTTCTCAGTAGTCTTCAAGCTCTGGAACCTAAGGTTGATATCTGCATGGTGAAAAGGTTATTGCAGATTTCACAAACACCAGGAACTGTTATCAATCAAATGTGATTGCTCATATCTTAATTATTTCCTGACGTTTTATCAGCTCTGTCTCTTTCTTCTTCTTCCGTCTTGTCGTTTGATTGACCGTATCTGCCTCTTTATCCATCTCAATCTCTTCTTAATATTAACCTGCTCCTTTCTTTCATCCTCTCGGTAATGCTGAGTTTCTCCGTTATTGCTCTTTGCTCTCGTCCTATCCGCAGTTTATCAGATGGCTTCCTGCCCTCCCCTTTTCTTTACGTTCTCCCTTCTGTCTGCTCTGTGCAGCCTTGTTAGGCAGTGTATTGGAATAGGCAGCTCTTTGTGTGTGTTTGGTGGGGTTCTCACTGTCTTTGCCTGTTTGGCATTAGAGTGACATATCAACTAATAGGATGGATGTGAAGCCCGACTGAGATATTCTGTGTCTTTTACACTTTCATTTCAATATACTATCCCCTATCTTTTCTCTTCCACTTGTTTCCATGTCCTCGCCTTTTTTTCTTCTGTCCTTGACCTGTGTTGACACTTTGTAAGTGACGCAAACAGGGAGAGAAAGAAAAAGCCATGCTGACTGCTGTTGAATTGCACACTGATCTTAGAGGGTCAAAGGTTTTATTTATCTTCGTTGAAGCTTCAAGCCTCTGCAAACAGTTCAGAAACCAGCAACAATCTGGTTGTGCTCCACAGCTGGGCTTTTATCCTTTAAATCAGACACAGAGAGAGTGAAACGGCAATGCACTGTCACCATCCTACATTATCGTTATTAGTCGTGAGTAAGGCACAAGCATACGCATGTTATTCATCAACGCATAGAGGCTAATAGCAATAATGAGCTGTGAAAGGAGTGTGACTGACTGGTACACCTATCTGTTGGCTGCTAATGGTTATTTTTTAAATGTGTGAATGGTAGACCCATTTAATCATCCTGAACTAGGCTATTCTTATAAAGTAAGGCATGACATGAGGGCTTGTGTTAATGGACGTTTCTTGAGCTGACTTTTACCTTTTTTCTGAAAATCAATGCCTCCTGATGGGTCATTGTTGCTTTTTCTCATAAAGACTAGCTGCTCCCTAGGCATTAGCTAATGGATATCCTGATCATAAATAAATACGTTTCTGTTATCAAACTGTATCCGTCTGCTTGAGATTAGCTTTAAGTCCTCTTCGATACTGCTTCTAAAATGTAAATTATAATTTGCAGACCTCCCCTTTCACATCATCTTATAATCGATGACATCAGAGTGGTTCTTCAGATAACGTCTTTTATCACAGCTACTCGTCGGAGATTAAGGCTAAAAGAAGCCCCTAAGTAGCCGTATTTGACTTTCATAGGTGGTAATCTTTCATAATGATTATATATATATATATACTTGCTAATGTGAGGCTGAACAGGGACTTTGAACTAATCACGCAATAAAATACATTATTCACCATAGTCCCCACCTTCCACAAAATGACATATTACAGTACATTACATTTCATTTAGCTGACGCTTTTATCCAAAGCGACTTACAATTACCAATTACAGGTACATTCTCCCTGGAGTAACTAAGGACTAAGTGCCTTACTCAAGGGCACACTAGTGGTGGTGTTCCTGGCGGGATTTGAACTCACAACCTTCCGATCTTCAGCCTACCTCACTATCCCCACCACATATATATATTGGCATTTACCAATCTGGTGGCTTGATCGACA